GAATGTCGTTGTTGCATTTCTCGCGACTTTGGCAAGGTGGGCTCGACCTGGGCACACGCGATTAGGCACCACTATGCGCTCGATGAAGTGGAGCCGAGCGCACGTCATCGTTGAGGCGGCAGCAGGAGCACGCCAGACTGAGACTCCCCCGAACGTGTCGTCAGATTGGCGTTCTTTCTTCCCCGCACACCCCTTCACTCTCCATCTCGCTATCTCACGCTTCTTGAATGGACCTCCATTGATACCAACCATATGGTTGCACACCCCTTCACTCTCCATCTCGCTCCATCTCACGCTTGCCAATACGACGAAAAGGAACACCGCGTTTACTTCTTCAAGTCGGGCAAAATCGAGGTCTCCCATCTCGGATCGGTCGCGCGCTCCCATGGACTCGGTCGCCTGCTGCGAGAGCTGAAGGAAGCGCTTGTTCAGAAAGTGGCGCTTGCTATCCAGCACGCTGCGTCGGCTGCTTGTGCCTGGCATTTGTTGCTGGGTTGGAATTCAAGAATGGCAAAATCACAAAATCAAGAGTGCGCAGGTTTTGCATTTGGAAAGTGCCATTTCCACGCTGTACGTCAGTCAGGTTGGTGACAAAGTAAAGTAGATCTAAGGGCTTCATTGAGGCACACGAGTCGGTTGTTTCCACAAACAAATCCTCTGGGAACATCGAATGCATCGTTTATCATCCTCCGGACTGGTCCATCCTTGACGCTTTGATCGCATGCAAGAAGCAAATTTACTCAACCAACCCAGACACCGCACTCGTGCACAACAGCTCCCCCAATGGCAAACAAACTCTTATATCTTCGGCCCGGTCATATCCTCGGCAACTACCCAGCTGTCAAACTGCTCAGCCGTCAGCAGACCCAAGGCAACGGCCGCTTCCTTTAGCGTTGTGCCATCGTGGTGCGCCTTCTTTGCAATTTTGGCAGCATTGTCGTAGCCAATGTGCGGATTTAGGGCAGTGACCAGCATGAGCGAGTTTTGCAAATGCTGAGCGATGCGTTGGCGGTTTGGCTCAATCCCCACAGCGCAGAACTCGTTAAAGCCACGGCATCCGTCTGCCAGCAGTCGAATCGAGTGCAAGACGTTGTGAATGATGAGCGGCTTGAACACGTTCAGTTCAAAGTTGCCGGACATGCCGCCAATATTGATTGCGACGTCATTTCCTGTTCCAAAGCAACGCAGAGGGCGTGGGGGGGGGGGAAGAGAGCAAACGCAATGAGTCCAGCAACAGCAACAGCAACAACAATCATCCCCCCTCCCGCAAACGCATCACGACACACTAGCAAACACGCAAAAACCAAACACGCAAAAATACCCCCTCGCTTACCCATGACTTGAGCACAGAGCATGGTCATTGCCTCGCTTTGGGTCGGATTTACTTTGCCAGGCATGATGGAGCTCCCGGGCTCGTTCTCCGGAATGACCAGCTCACCCAAGCCACAACGCGGCCCCGAGGCGAGCCAGCGAATGTCGTTTGCAATTTTGTTGAGGCCGGCAGCGAGGGTTTTGAGCGTGCCATGCAAGGCCACGAGCGCATCGTTCGCCGCGAGTGCCTCAAACTTGTTGTCCGCCGAGCGAAACGGCAAGCCAGTGAGCTGGGCAATGTGGGCGGCAGACCGCACGGCGTACTCGGGGTGAGTGTTGAGCCCAGTGCCAACCGCCGTCCCGCCAAGCGCCAGCTCGAAAACATGCGGCAGCGCGGCTCGAACCGCGCGAAGGGCATGATCCAGCTGAGCCACATAGCCGGAAAACTCTTGCTCCAGCGTGACGGGCGTGGCATCCATCAGATGCGTGCGGCCGATTTTGGTGATTCCAGCAAACGCCTTTGACTTTGCATGGAGCGTGTTACGCAGCGTTTCCACAGCCGGGAGCAAGTTGTGGGTAATTTGCTCTGCCGCTGCAATGTGCATGGCAGTCGGGAAGGTGTCGTTGGACGACTGACCGCGGTTGACTACAAAAGCACGAATGGCACGGCAGTGAGGATGTTGGCGAACATTGCAGCAAACGCCCATCTCTCTCTCTCTCTCTCTCTCTCTCTCTCTCTCTCTCTCTCTCTCTCTCTCTCTCTCTCTCTCTCTCTCTCTCTCTCTCTCTCTCTCTCTCTCTCTCTCTCTCTCTCTCTCTTTCGCTGTCTCTTCGCTCTCTCTCGCTGGATAGCAAAACCCACTGTCCCACGACCCTCGCTTAACTCTTTTGTGTGCGGTCTCTGCGCCTTCCCGCCCATTGGGGGAATGATAGCTGATGGTCGTTTCCTTTGTCGGCATCAAAGCGGCTGGGACAGAAAAAATAGAAATTTTTTTTTTATGTGTTTTTGTCGGTTGTTCTCGCGTTTTGCCCGG